AGACAGAGGAGCTGCGCATCTAAAAGCTGTCTTCCCTAAGACAGTCCTAGCAGTTAAAACCACAGCATGCGATCTCAGGCAGTAGCCACTTACAATTCTCCGTGAGATCAGGGAGCAGATATAAGATGGAAGTTTCCCTAACATGGCTTTGTATGTTAGGGAAACTTCCATCTTATATCTGCTCCCTGATCTCACGGAGAATTGTAAGTGGCTTATTATTATTACAAGTTAATACTTGTAAATGCAACTTTTGGCCCGTAATTTCAATTCCCCATTTCAGCGACAGAGAGAGGGGGGGATATATCCAGTCTCTGATTGTGTTACGTTATTATGAGAGTGCTCTCATACTTTAAATTGTATATATTTATATAAATATATTTGTGTGTGTGTGTCCGCATCTGTGCCTGTTATTGTCTCATTATACCGCACTCTCAATGAATTCAAAGTAAATATGTGGGGGAACAATGTTCAGCTGATCTAACAGAGATACAGTGCTATGACAAAACACTCGACAGCTGATGCAGCTGTTGCCACGTAATAATGAACGGACGTCTCTTTAAAATGACCGCTCAGAGGAGAGGAGTTCTCATTTCTTTAAACGTCTGCTGCTTCCCCTCCTCTCTCCTCGGTTCCCCTCCTCGGTCCTCCGCTCGCATCTCCTGTGGGCGGGTCTAAGTCTCGAGGAGGGGAACCGAGGAGGGGAGTCGAGGAGGGGAAATTTGAGTATTGAGAAGCCTCTCCTGTCATATTTTCCTCTTTGTATATTGTCTGGTCCTTCTTCCTGTGTTTTTCCTCCCTGTCGTTAGTTTCCCTGGTGTGTCTAATTGTCTGAGTGTGTTCACCTGTTGCCCTTGTGTTTCTCCTCCCCTGCCCAGCTGTGTCTTCCCCTGTGATTACCCTTCTGTGTATTTAGTCTTGTCTTCCCCTGTGCTCCATGTCTGTTCGTCGTCATTTCATGTCACTGTCACCAGTGCTTGAATTGGAATGAAAAAGGTGCCAGTACTCTAAAATCAGCAACTTTTTCAAGTCAATTTTATATATACAGCCCACAAACAAGAATTTGGCTACTATAATGCTGGTGGGTTTGTCTCTTTACTACTGTATATTTTAGAAAGGTTCACTGTACTTAACATTTTTTATGATAGGCAGCGGATATGGCTAAAGCTCAGTAAGGTCAATATTAACTGAAAATATAGCAATCAAAGTCTAGATCTTCTGCTGAAGACACATGAAGCAGAGACCTTTCAGGTGAGAGCCCCTCTGGTGGTGTTCAACATTAATGACAAGGAAACAAAGCTCTGGTCAGAAGCATTTTTTATAAAAAGCTTTAACAAAATTAAGTATTTCTGTACATTTTGAATGCAATCTAACTTTCCAACTCAGAAAACGAAAAAGTGCCAAAGTCTTCTCACATGGCTGAGCTGCTTTGCAATATACTTCACCACTGAAGAATACAAATATGTATAAAGTAAACTATGATGCAATCTAACTTTCCAACTCAGAAAAATGATAAAGAGCATGAACAAAGAACATGTAAAAACAAATGCAAAATTTGCACAATCTAAAATGAGAAACTGTAACTGCAAGTAACAAAGTCTGAGCCATGGTAAAGAGTTACATTGAACACCAAGCTGATCAGATAACTCCCTGGTTGGTCTGAAGTCCTTCTATCTCCAGGATCTGTACAAATCGGCACATTATGCCAAAAGTCTTCTCACTGGGTGAGCTGCTTTGCAATATACTTCACATTGTTAGAAAAGGCTCCAGAAGGCCTTGGGGACATCAGTATCAGGGGCTGGAGCTGGACAGGCTCTTTCATCAGCACTTCTCCTTCCCTTTGCCAGCCAGGACCTCACATACTGTTCCGGATTGAACTGTCCTAGTGATGGTCCATTACATTTAATGAAAACCAGGCTGGACAGTCGGCTGACAGAGAGAGCATTCCTTTTTGCAGTAAGGATATCGTTCATGCAGCTGAATGCCCGCTCACACTCACTAGTGGAGACAGCGATGGTTCGGACTGCTTTCAGTAGAGGCTCCATGGCAGCAGGTGTACGGGATGCCCTGGTTTCCTTGTATTCGCGAAAGCCCTGAACAGTCTCTCTTCTGTCCACTTTCAGCACTTCGCACAAACGTAGCACCTCTACGTCCCCATACTGTACGTCTAACTCCTCTTCAGGCCAACTTCCAGGATGGATAACTTTCATGTCCTGGATTAGCTGATTGTCCCGGGCCTCCCGGCCATGTAATGGGATTTCTCTTGTGCTGACATGAGAGGAGGTTGTGGAAGTCATTCTGTGTCTCAGATTCTCTACCATACTGCGGAAAAACTGACCTGCATGAATCTGTACAAGCCTGCCATTCCTCACGCAGGGCAACACCCTTGAAGGACTTCTCAGCTAGAGCTGTATGAACTGTAGTCATGTGTGGGCCAGGCATGGTGACCATGGATTCAAAAACTCGTATTTCTCGAGTTAAGAGCCTATCTGCTGTAGGCAGTGTCATCTCTCTTTTTTGGAGTTGCCGAGAGAGGTCGCTGAGCTCTGTGAGCGCATCGTACATCAGTCCCAGATTGCTGACAAACGTTGCAGATGTGAGCACATCATCCAGGCCCTTGTACTTTGCTCTGTCTCTGGAATCCCTGCTCGTGTCGTTTGCAGCATTTGTGAAGTGATCATGAAGCACTCGGTAGTTTTCCCAGACTGCTCTGACGCTCCTTTCACTTGAAGCCACCCAGCGGATGGACAAAACACGCCCTATCACCAGGAGACGCTGTCCGACTGTTTGCGCACACTGCGCTAACTGCCTCTGATTTTTGGGGGAGGCATGGAACAAGGAATAGAGTTTGTCAAAAAAGATCTGGAAATGATTGAGCCCTGAGACCTCCTTGACCACATCCCCAACTGCCAGCTCTAGACGATGATTGGAGCAGTGCCACACAAACAGGCTTGGGAATTTACTACACAACTGGGTAGCAACGCCTGTTCTCTTCCCTAGCATGACTGAAGCCCCATCACATGCAAAAGAAACGAAACACTGACCTAAAAAGTCCTCGTTAAAATCTCTTCCAAGACACTCCATTAACGCCTTTGTGATGTCATCAGCCGTTGTTCCATCCAACTCGATCAGCTCCCAAAAAAACGTTTCGGGCTCAGCATCAGCTAATGCTGAGCGTAGACACACAACAAGCACCGTTTCTACCACTATTAGTGGTAGATTCATCGACCAAAACACAGAGTTTTCTTTGGTTTTCTGTAATGTCTTTTGCCATTTTTTTTCTTCAGCTCATGAGCTATGTGGTCGATGATTTCGCCACAGGTTTTATTGGAGTGCAAAACCCTGCCCACGTTCAGCCCATTCAGTTTCTGTACATTCAAATCAATTGGCATGTCTGTGAATGGCCGGCTATGTTTGCCAATTTTATATGCCGTTCGAAAAACTCTGATAGTGGTGTCTAATTGAGATGTATGCATAGACTGCACTTGATGTTGAATAGTTTCACGTGAAGCAGATGTAAGGATGTCAGCAGCTTTTACATGGGCTTGTGATTCTTTATGTTCTTTGATTTTTTTTCTCAGGCTAGCTTGTTGTTTGCCCTTGTCAACACCGAAATGAGACACTGCACACTCACCCCATTCAGTTGACAGTTTCAGTCCTTGTCCAGTGTGTATTCCCAAAGATTTGACATCTCTGCATATCCGACATCCTAGCTTCTTATCTTTAAGAAGGAGCCATGCATTGGTCTTGCAAAAATATTGCACCTGGTCCGTTGTCCAGCAGTCAGGTGCATCGCTTTGCCCGGTGTTGGTGGTGGCAGTTGCGCCAGCAGCAGCTAACGTTAGAGGCTCTGGAGGAGGCGGCGGAGCTAGTGCTAATGCTAATGCACTAGAACTTGGAGCAGGAGGATCAACCAAAGAAAGCTCCCCATCAGACACAATTTCCAACACAGGCACAGCATTCTCTGTATTTGAAGTTTCTTCCGGCGACAACCGCTGTCTTTTTGCACTTTTATTAATCCACGCTAACATTTTAGAAATGCTAATTTGTGACGTGACTTGCTTTCCTTCTCTCGGGGGCGTGCCTGCTCTGTTCTATCACTCTACATAGCCACCCACTGGGTGGGAGTTGCACTGCATAAACACAACACACGTGCATCTAGGTATGTAAATTGTAAAGCATTAAAACATGGTTTTACTAACAGTTTTCAGTATGTTGTTACTTCGGCATTATTATTATTATTATTATTATTTTGAAACGTGTATTACTATTAAATCACGGTCAAATAGGTTAATTTTGACATAGTCGTTTCCACCACAGTATTTACATGGAGAAGATAAGCCCCGCCCCCTCTCCAGCACGTTCTGTTTGAATGACAGGAGTAAACAGCTGACAGCCGCTGTGAAACTCCAGCGGTTAGAGCGATGAGAATGTCCGTTCGGCACCTCATGACGCATCTACTGAGTACCGGGTGGCTGTATATATATATATATGGATGTATAATAAGAACGGCGGGAGAGTGTTGAGTACTGGCACGGTGCATGAGTACCGGAGTACCGCCAGCATGCCGGTACTGAGCAAGAAGTGCCGGTACTCCATGGGTCAGAACCAGAAGTGCCGGTACTGCGTACCGGTGAGTACCGGCCCAATTCCAGCACTGAGTCTGTCACCCATGATTGTCCGTGTCTCCTGCCTGTTCCCGTATGTAAGTTTGTTCCTGTCTGTCGTGCTCCCCGGTTTTGTTTCTGTTAATTAGTTTCTTGTTTTTTCATGCCTTCGGCTTTTTTATAATAAAGCTCGCTTTTTGTTAACGAACTTTTTTTTGTATTTTTTAACTGCACTTGGGTCTTATTTTCCCCAATCCTGACAGTATCTGTACTTCTACTTGAGTAAAGGATGTGTGTACTCTTGCTCTGGTCTCACACAAACTGAAAGACTGACAATAAAGCTGACTTTGAAAAGTGTTCTTCAGTACTTGAGTAATAAATGTAGTTTCTTCCCACCTGTGCAGGTACTCGTCCCACTGAGCGGGGGAAGAGCAGAGGGACGAGATCAGCCCTCTGAAGGGGAGGATCCTCTCCAGGAGGAGCAGCTGGGGGAGGATGGGAGGCGGGATCCAGCCCGGCAGGAGGGAGGAAATGGGAGGGAGGGAGCCCGCTTTTATTTTGGTGACGGGGAGTGGAACGTCCTGGAGGCCCCGGAGGAACACTGCCTTCTCCGCATCAGAGCAGAGCTGCTGGAGATAAGATATACTTTTATTATTTTGCCTGCACAATCCCCATGTAACCCATTCAACAATGACCTGCACTAAACTCACATATAAACTAAGGAAGAAAGCTTCTGCATTTTACACCATTTGGGAATTGTTTTTGGAATTTCCCTCTGTGGAAAGAGACTCTCTTTTTACACAGAGGGGACACATGTCTCTTCTACATCAACACGTGTCCCCTCTTCTTCATGTCTCTTCTACATCAACATGTGTCCCCTCTTCTCCATGTCTCTTCTACATCAACACGTGTCCCCTCTTCTTCATGTCTCTTCTACATCAACATGTGTCCCCTCTTCTTCATGTCTCTTCTACATCAACATGTGTCCCCTCTTCTTCATGTCTCTTCTACATCAACATGTGTCCCCTCTTCTTCATGTCTCTTCTAAATCAACATGTGTCCCCACTTCTTCATGTCTCTTCTAAATCAACATGTGTCCCCTCTTCTTCATGTCTCTTCTAAATCAACATGTGTCCCCTCTTCTTCATGTCTCTTCTAAATCAACATGTGTCCCCTCTTCTTCATGTCTCTTCTAAATCAACATGTGTCCCCTCTTCTTCATGTCTCTTCTACATCAACATGTATCCTCTCTTCTTCATGTCTCTTCTACATCAACATGTGTCCCCTCTTCTTCATGTCTCTTCTACATCAACATGTGTCCCCTCTTCTCCATGTCTCTTCTACATCAACATGTGTCCCCTCTTCTTCATGTCTCTTCTACATCAACATGTGTCCCCTCTTCTTCATGTCTCTTCTTCATCAACATGTGTCCCCTCTTCTTCATGTCTCTTCTACATCAACATGTGTCCCCTCTTCTTCATGTCTCTTCTACATCAACATGTGTCCCCTCTTCTTCATGTCTCTTCTACATCAACATGTGTCCCCTCTTCTCCATGTCTCTTCTACATCAAAATGTGTCCCCTCTTCTTCATGTCTCTTCTACATCAACATGTGTCCCCTCTTCTTCATGTCTCTTCTTCATCAACATGTGTCCCCTCTTCTTCATGTCTCTTCTACATCAACATGTGTCCCCTCTTCTTCATGTCTCTTCTACATCAACATGTGTCCCCTCTTCTTCATGTCTCTTCTACATCAACATGTGTCCCCTCCTCTCCATGTCTCTTCTACATCAACATGTGTCCCCTCTTCTTCATGTCTCTTCTACATCAACATGTGTCCCCTCCTCTCCATGTCTCTTCTACATCAACATGTGTCCCCTCTTCTTCATGTCTCTTCTAAATCAACATGTGTCCCCTCTTCTTCATGTCTCTTCTAAATCAACATGTGTCCCCTCTTCTTCATGTCTCTTCTAAATCAACATGTGTCCCCTCTTCTTCATGTCTCTTCTACATCAACATGTATCCTCTCTTCTTCATGTCTCTTCTACATCAACATGTGTCCCCTCTTCTTCGTGTCTCTTCTACATCAACATGTGTCCCCTCTTCTTCATGTCTCTTCTACATCAACATGTGTCCCCTCTTCTTCATGTCTCTTCTACATCAACATGTATCCTCTCTTCTTCATGTCTCTTCTACATCAACATGTGTCCCCTCTTCTTCATGTCTCTTCTACATCAACATGTGTCCCCTCTTCTTCATGTCTCTTCTACATCAACATGTGTCCCCTCTTCTTCATGTCTCTTCTACATCAACATGTGTCCCCTCTTCTTCATGTCTCTTCTACATCAACATGTGTCCCCTCTTCTTCATGTCTCTTCTACATCAACATGTATCCCCTCTTCTTCGTGTCTCTTCTACATCAACATGTGTCCCCTCTTCTTCGTGTCTCTTCTACATCAACATGTGTCCCCTCTTCTTCATGTCTCTTCTACATCAACATGTGTCCCCTCTTCTTCATGTCTCTTCTTCATCAACATGTGTCCCCTCTTCTTCATGTCTCTTCTACATCAACATGTGTCCCCTCTTCTCCATGTCTCTTCTACATCAACATGTGTCCCCTCTTCTTCATGTCTCTTCTACATCAACATGTGTCCCCTCTACTTCATGTCTCTTCTACATCAACATGTGTCCCCTCTTCTTCATGTTTCTTCTACATCAACATGTGTCCCCTCTTCTTCATGTCTCTTCTACATCAACATGTGTCCCCTCTTCTTCATGTCTCTTCTACATCAACATGTGTCCCCTCTTCTTCATGTCTCTTCTACATCAACATGTGTCCCCTCTTCTTCATGTTTCTTCTACATCAACATGTGTCCCCTCTTCTTCATGTCTCTTCTACATCAACATGTGTCCTCTCTTCTTCATGTCTCTTCTACATCAACATGTGTCCTCTCTTCTTCATGTCTCTTCTACATCAACATGTGTCCCCTCTTCTTCATGTCTCTTCTACATCAACATGTGTCCCCTCTTCTCCATGTCTCTTCTACATCAACATGTGTCCCCTCTTCTTCATGTCTCTTCTACATCAGCATGTGTCCCCTCTTCTTCATGTCTCTTCTACATCAACATGTGTCCCCTCTTCTTCATGTCTCTTCTACATCAACATGTGTCCCCTCTTCTCCATGTCTCTTCTACATCAACATGTGTCCTCTCTTCTTCATGTTTCTTCTACATCAACATGTGTCCCCTCTTCTTCATGTCTCTTCTACATCAACATGTGTCCCCTCTTCTTCATGTCTCTTCTACATCAACATGTGTCCCCTCTTCTTCATGTCTCTTCTACATCAACATGTGTCCCCTCTTCTTCATGTCTCTTCTACATCAACATGTGTCCCCCTCTTCTTCATGTCTCTTCTACATCAACATGTGTCCCCTCTTCTTCATGTCTCTTCTACATCAACATGTGTCCCCTCTTCTTCGTGTCTCTTCTACATCAACATGTGTCCCCTCTTCTTCGTGTCTCTTCTACATCAACATGTGTCCCCTCTTCTTCATGTCTCTTCTACATCAACATGTGTCCCCTCTTCTTCATGTCTCTTCTACATCAACATGTGTCCCCTCTGTGGAAAGAGACTCTGAAAGTTTCAGGAACAAAGATTCTCTCTCTTTTTGATCCATTTCTATAAAAACCTGTCTGAAAATGAGCTGATCAGATTTTGGTCACTTTATGATGTCATAACGATGTGTTGTCTTGTGTAACCATTAGCCAATCAGCAACCAAGGTAACCCCCCCCCCCCCCATATCACCTGAATCTCCTCCTAGAGCTCCATTAAGTTCTTTGTAACCAAATGTCTCTCAGAGGGGCGTGGGGAGGGGCTCCTTATTTTCATCTAAAGTAACAGACAGAGAATCAGCACTTTGGGAACAGGGCTGAAACAGAGGGGATTATGGGTAATGCTGCAATGATCTGTTTGGTGTTTCAGCCAATCAGAGACAGGCTCTGGATATATCTGAGACCTGTGTTTAATAGGGGACCTTTTAATATAAAGTGAAAACGTTCAGTTTGGACTAAACCCACTTGGTTCTTCATTCGAAGCTTCTGTTACGCAACAAAGGCACCGCAGCATCAGGTCTAAAACCACCAGACTCAGAGACAGTTTCATCCCACAGGCCAGAAGGCGGTTAAACACCTGAACTAAGAACATTCATAACATTCATCTGTTTACAACTTACTAATTATGTATCACTTGTATATAGACTCTTATGGCACTACTTCTATTCTACTTTACTGTATTTACTTGCGCTATTGCATCTGTTGTATTGTGTTGCACTGTTGGAGGAGCCTGAGACCTCAGATGTTCATTGACATAACTACACTGTAGCTCTGCACACATGACAATAAAAGCCTTGAATAAGTGAATTACAGAGTGGTGTTGGAGCAGAGCGAGGGAGAAGAGGAGCTCCAGAGCAGGAAGATGTGCGCTGTAGAGACTCGGTCTGTAGTGATGCAGCAGCTTCTCCACCAGCCGGTTACTGAGCTCCACCTCACACCCCTCCACAATAAAAGCCTCCTGTAGTGCGGAGATGAAGCCCTGCAGGGGGAAGCAGTAATCAGAGGAGAGGCGGGACACCTCCTGTAGAGCCTGGTAGAAAGTAGAAGCCAGTTTCACCAGGTTTCTGGGGGCTTTCAGCAGGACGTCGTGGTGCTGAAGCTCCTCGCTGAGCAGCTGGAGGTCAAACTGAAGCTGCTGCATTGAATCCTGACTCACACACACCTCCTGATACACACACACCTGCTGAGACACACACACCTCCTGAGACACACACACACACAATGAGAAAGTGTTACTTTATCTCTCACTAAACACGCTGATTTCTAACTTTACTCCAACCAGGCCACATTAGAATAACCATCATAGCACTTTCACACATTTTAAAACACGTCATTACAGCCAACATTAGATAAAACACAGGATATTAACTCACCAGATATACCTGACACACACACCTGCTGAGACACACACACCTGCTGAGACACACACACCTGCTGAGACACACACACCTGCTGAGACACACACACCTCCTGCTGACACACATACTTGCTGACACACACACAAATCTCCTGACACACACACACTTGCTGACACACACACACCTGCTGACACACACACACACACCTCCTGCAGCAGGGGGGAGTCACTCTGAAGGATGGAGTCCAGCAGAAACTCCTGGGACAAAATGAAGGAGAGAAAACATGAGCAGCAAAGTTTACCACTTTCTGTTTTTCTATAAACCACAAAGAGGCTTTTCCGTGATTCTCAGTTAGACATACGAACCGCACTGGGTCCTACGGAATATGTTCCGCAAAAAAAAAAACCTAATACATTGCGATGTTCACCAGACTGTGTGTAAAGGAAGTGTGTGTAACATGTGGTGGGTTTACGTGAATGTTAAGGACCCCAAAAGTGTGTGCAAAGACTAAAAATAAAAATCGTAAGAATCCGAGCTATTTCAACTATGTGTCGACTACATCTCGTTGGGATTTCTGTTTCCAGCCCTGTTCCTGGGCTTTTTTTCCTTGCTAGCGAGCGAATACATTATACCCTAATAAGAGTCAAAAGACAATAAGAACCCATCCTAACAGACAGAGGAACCGCTTCTTCTGTCCAACCGCAAAACACATTTTCACTGATACACAAACACACACATTCGAAGACTCTATCCACAAATGTATATAAAGATAAACTGATATTTAGATGTTTTTTTTACACTAGAACCGCCAACGGGTACATTTTACCCGCAGCTGTTTCCTGATTGTATGTAACTTTTATTCAACAAAATATTCAAGTCTCCCAGTCAGTGACTTTTCCTGAAAGTGTGTTATGTAGCACCCTCTGTTATTACAAATTGTCAATATTAAGTCAGATTGAAAAAAAGGCCCAACAAATGGCCATTTATATCAGCAGGTAATTAGCTCATAATATAGCTTAGGTATTTAGCCCATAGAAAATGCAGTGATTTTCACGCTATTGATCTCCCGCGTAAACATGACGTGTTGCTATAGCAACGCCTGTTGTTTACTGCAGTTCCTTATAGATAGATAGATAGATAGATAGATAGAGAGAGAGATTGATAGATAGATAGATATATAGATAGATAGATAGATTGATAGATAGATACACTGAAAAAATATATAAATGCAACACTTTTGTTTTTGCTCCCATTTTTCATGAGATGAACTCAAAGATCTAAAACATTTTCTATAAACACAAAATAACCATTTCTCTGAAAGAATGTGTGATAGTGAGCACTTCTCCTTTGCCGAGATAATCCATCCCACCTCACAGGTGTGGCATATCAAGATGCTGATTAGACAGCATGATTATTGCACAGGTGTGCCTTAGGCTGGCCACAATAAAAGGCCACTCTGAAACATGCAGTTTTGCTTTATTGGGGGGGTCTGGGGGGGTCCGAAAACCAGTCAGTATCTGGTGTGACCACCATTTGCCTCACGCAGTGCAACACATCTCCTTGGCATAGAGTTGATCAGGTTGTTGATTGTGGCCTGTGGAATGTTGGTCCACTCCTCTTCAATGGCTGTGCCAAGCTGCTGGATATTGGCAGGAACTGGAACACGCTGTCGTATACGCCGATCCAGAGCATCCCAAACATGCTCAATGGGTGACATGTCCGGTGAGTATGCTGGCCATGCAAGAACTGGGATGTTTTCAGCCTCCAGGAATTGTGTACAGATCCTTGCAACATGGCGCTGTGCATTATCATGCTGCAACATGAGGTGATGGTCGTGGATGAATGGCACAACAATGGGCCTCAGGATCTCGTCACGGTATCTCTGTGCATTCACAATGCCATCAATAAAATGCACCTGTGTTCGTCGTCCATAACATACGCATGCCCATACCATAACCCCACCACCATCATGGGCCACTCGATTGGGCTGGTGTGGTTACCGATACCGATACCTTCCTGCTTCTCAAGACCGATACCGATACCGATAACCGATAATAATATAATATATATATATATTAAATGTACCTGTAGTTTTTGCACACCTGGTGGTAAAAAAAAGACTAGTAGTGAGCAAATGACATGAGCATTACTACTATGAACAAAACAAAGCCAAGAACAGTTTTGACTCTCGTCAAGCGCCATCATTTCTATGATGAAGTTAGAGATCGTTTTAGCCCTGGGGTCGTCTCTGGCAAACTTCTTGCCTTTTTCAAAAGCCTCGTCGATAGGTAAAAGCCCGGTGCCTTTGCAGCTGGCTTTGGATTCGCCGCTAGTTTAGCAGCGCAGGCGTCTTCGTACGCTTTTAACACACCATCGTAGCGATGGCGATGTTTCAGGTGACTAATCAGGTTGGAAGTATTATAGCTCGTTGCCTTTTTCCCTCCTCGTGGAACTTCTGCATTTGTTAATACAAATAGCAAGCGAACTATCTAACTCTGAAGCTTTGAAATAGTCCCATACTACCGGCGACATGTTTGTTTACTGTCCTGGCTTCACGGCCGCACACCATTTACGTCACAGCCAGGCACGAGTTAGGGAGCGCTGCATTTGTGAAGAACTCCCCTCTTCCTAAACCACTAATACCACAGTACTGGCAAAACGGGAGGAGCCGAGTGAAAAACAAGCGCCCCTCATCCCAATCCACCCACACCGCAGTATTTCTACTTTTTTTTTACCCAAAAAATATATTGTATATTATATATATTATATATATATTGGCTATTAATACTTTTATCGGGTTTATCGGGATGACGTCATAATTCCTAATATCGGCCCGATAATTATCGTGCACCACTAGTGGTTACACGTGGTCTGCGGTTGTGAGGCCGGTTGGATGTACTGCCAAATTCTCTGAAACGCCTTTGGAGACGGCTTATGGTAGAGAAATTAACATTCAATTCACGGGTAACAGCTCTGGTGGACATTCCTGCTGTCAGCATGCCAATTGCACGCTCCCTCAAAACTTGCGATAAAACGGAACATTTTAGAGTGGCCTTTTATTGTGGCCAGCCTAAGGCACACCTGTGCAATAATCATGCTGTCTAATCAGCATCTTGATATGCCACACCTGTGAGGTGGGATGGATTATCTCGGCAAAGGAGAAGTGCTCACTATCACAGATTTTTTCAGATTTGTGAATAATATTTGAGATAAATGGTTATTTTGTGTATATAGAAAATGTTTTAGATCTTTGAGTTCATCTCATGAAAGATGGGAGCAAAAACAAAAGTGTTGCATTTATATTTTTGTTCAGTGTAGATAGATAGTTATAGATAGATAGATATATAGATAGAGAGATCGATAGATAGTTATAGAGAGATAGATAGATAGTTAGTTATAGATAGATAGATAGATGGATAGAGAGAGAGATAGAGACACTTTGCACATAACTCACGTTAGCGATATTTTATACTTCATGCAATCTGCACGAACTAGATATCATATTGGTTCTATTGGTATACGTTTCATCACTGTGCGATCAAAACTCACTGTTAACCCTGTGTTCTAGTGTGATAAATAAAAGAACATTGTACCTTGAAAATCAATGCATTCTAATAGCGGGTACATTTTACCCGTTTGCGGTTTTAGGTATAATAATAATAATAATAATAGATTTAATTTGTTAGCGCTTTTACAGGTGCTCAAAGACGCTTAATACAGCGACCCCTGGCGGTTCTAGTGTTAACATCTATTTAATAGCACCAAAACAAAATCTGTAAATCTTGTACCTTTACATTTTGTTAATTAGTACATTTCATTTAAGAAGTGCCTACTATTTCTGAATTTAGGGGAGAGAATTAGGGCCACATGTGAATTGTATTTGGGATCTGACCAAAAGTAAGTATTTTTAAAAAAATGGAAATGCTATTATTTTCAGAACATTTCAGAAAAAGTGACAATACTGACTTAAAAAAGGTAAAATTCACTATCAATTCAGCATTTACCAACGATTTGAATGATACATTGCTGCAGATTCACTGAATGACTTATTGAATGACTTGTTGAATGACTTGTTGAATGACTTGTTGAATGACTTGTTGTATGACTTGTTGAATGACTTGTTGAATGACTTGTTGTATGACTTGTTGTATGACTTGTTGAATGACTTGTTGTATGACTTGTTGTATGACTTGTTGAATGACTTGTTGAATGACTTGTTGAATGACTTGTTGTATGACTTGTTGAATGACTTGTTGAATGACTTGTTGTATGACTTGTTGTATGACTTGTTGAATGACTTGTTGTATGACTTGTTGTATGACTTGTTGAATGACTTGTTGAATGACTTGTTGAATGACTTGTTGAATGACTTGTTGAATGACTTGTTGTATGACTTGTTGTATGACTTGTTGTATGACTTGTTGAATGACTTGTTGAATGACTTGTTGAATGACTTGTTGAATGACTTGTTGTATGACTTGTTGAATGACTTGTTGAATGACTTGTTGAATGACTTGTTGAATGACTTGTTGAATGACTTGTTGTATGACTTGTTGAATGACTTGTTGAATGACTTGTTGAATGACTTGTTGAATGACTTGTTGAATGACTTGTTGAATGACTTGTTGTATGACTTGTTGAATGACTTGTTGAATGACTTGTTGAATGACTTGTTGAATGACTTGTTGTATGACTTGTTGAATGACTTGTTGTATGACTTGTTGACAGTACAGTAAGTGTTTCTCTGCTCACCTGCTCTGAGATCAGTTTGTGCTCCAGCAGCTGTTTGTCCCTCTGCAGCTGTGAGTGCCGACTCAGCAGTGTCTTCCTCTCATTCTGCAGGAGCTGAGTCAGCATCAGCTGCTGGATCTCAGCTGAACTCAGAGAGAGGTCGAGCACAGCGACCAGGGAGAGGACGGAGGGATGGATCTCTGCAGGAAACACAAAGGGAACCTGAGACACTTCCTCCAGATGAGGCTTTCAAAACATTTACTGTCAGATTGTGATTTTAGATTTCTTATATAATAGTAGGGGTGGGGGAAATAATCGATACAGCATAGTACCGCAATACTTTGCGTGGCGACATTGTATCGATACACGGAAGCCAAGTATGGATATTTTATGATATAAGCTGTAGCATATCCCTCCGACAGAAGGTCGTACACTTGATACGTTCTAATTTATTGAAAACTCCAAAAACCAACGTAAGAGCTACGCAAAGACACAAAACAACAAATACATTTAAGCTTCATCCATATGAGCATTACTTTAGAATACCATTTAACAAGTGAACTTCAAATAGTTAGCAAAGTTATAATACAGCATATAAACTAATTAAGACACAAAGCACATGTTTATATTACAGTTAACACTGACCTTGAGCCTCTTGCTAACACTGAAATGTAAACTTTATCTTTTGATATCACCAAATATATTTAAATGTTAATATCTCTGTTAATGTCTGTACTTTATCTCCGTTATTTTTCTCCGGAGCAGTAACTTCCTGCTAACAGCGCAAAGTCACCTTCAAGATAAAAGCATGTCTAAATAAAACAGGAAGTTAAGTTAAGACATGTATACAATTGCAATGAAAGTAACAAAAACATCTATTTTTCAGGTTCAAAGAACACACATTGGGTTATTTACATAAACTATTCATATTACAAATACATGTTTTAACCAGGAAGGGAAGATGGACATGGATATGAACCATGTTATTTGCAATATCGCAATATATCGTATCGCAATACTTAGCATATCGCAATACTTAGCATATCGCAATACTTAGCATATTGCAATACTTAGCATATCGTAGAATCGCAATACTATCGTACCGTTGCTTAAAGGGGACCTATCATGCACTTTGTGATGTCTTCTCTACATCAACATGTGTCCCCGGTGTGTCGGGGAACTCACGCAGCGTCAGAAAATAAACCCCTCTCTCTTTTCCTCCGTACCCAAATCTCTAAAAACGGGGAACAACGGAGCTGATCCAGATCTGCGTCCGATATGACGTAATATCTGAAATGTGGACCCACGGCCCAATCAGAAACGTTGCTATCAGAAACAATGCCCGACTGTTCTGGACGTAATATGGTCGGAGTTTACATTAGCATCGCTAACACTCAGAGCTAATCTGTACTGGAGAGCATGTGTGTGAAGAAGCAGGAAGTAAAAAGGAACTCACCTTGTGGTATAACCGGCAAGAGAGAAAGCCTTTGAGCTCCAAACTGTTTCAGAGAGAATCCTTGATAATCCATGAAATGGCGTTTCATCACGGCAGCATTTAGTTTAGACAGTAGCTGCCGGGTCCCGCATGAGCTCAGACCCCTCCTCTTTAAAGCTTTATACCCAAATCAGCACTTTAGAAACAGGAAGTGAAATAGAGGGATATGAGGCATGGCTAGAATGGCTGATCTGTTTGGTATTGTGAGTAAAACACTTCATAGACATGTTTTTTATATATTTGTATATATCTGAGACATATGCTATTGCCTAAACATAGCATGATAGGTGACCTTTAAGTATTGTGATAGAATCGTATCGTGAGGAGCCTGGTGATTCCCACCCCTATGCAATAAGTTTAAAAAATATCTCCTACTTACCTCATTCAAGTATTAGCAAATAGAGTAAATCATTCATGAATTAATTAAATGTAGAGGCAAGGCGAGACACTGCAGGAACATGTGTAAGGTGGAACATGGAAACATTACGACACAGAGAAAGTAAAAATGCTGTCATGATCCAAAGACTAGGATACTTGTAATGAAGGTTGGACAACAGATGGACAAGCCACTTGTAAATGTAGAAAAAAATTCCGCAAAATCATTTTGAAAACGTAAATATAAAAAGCAATCCAATGTTAAAAAAAATATCTGTTTAATTTAGAAACAAATGAAAAGCAGGGGTTGAAATCTTAACATGTTAACATTGTAACAAATCCTAACATGTGCATCTTTCAAACAGGTTTTTGTGAATCTTAATTCCAAGCTTCTATCGCTCGGCCATTTTCAGATACCACTGTTGATGACGTCAGTATCGCAGATGAGCCGTTTCCCAAATAATCAGCAACGGTAACGTTATTAATTGTGAAATGTTTTTTATTATACCAGTCAATTATCGAGACACACAGCTGAACATTTATCAAACTATGATGACGGATGAATTTGAAAGTCTTGCATAGATTTTTGCAAGAAAACGTAAAGTAAGCTACTCTCACAGAGACCTCCCCTGTACTGTTGCTATCAAATCAAATCAAATGTTATTTATATAGCACATTTATAAACGATTTTTGGTCGAGCCAAAGTGCTGAGACCAAATAGAGTGGTGCAGCGACGAGTCCTAAAACCTGGAAGCATTTCTCCACTTCCTGTTCCCTGGTCTCAGAGCCAATGGGATCTCTCCACTTCCTGTTCCCTGGTCTCAGAGCCAATGGGATCTCTCCAGAGGATTTTGGAAAAGAGCTCGAAATAACATCTGTGGAAAAGGAACCTGTTTGATAAATGCACGTTTTGTTCAGCCGGATAATCTCCACATGTCTACTTTTATAATGTTGGAATCATAAATCTAATGTCAAAGCAAAATGCTAACGTAATGCTATAAAGGAGCTACAGCCGAGTCCAGCAGCACGACTTCAACGTCACGCCAACTTCAGATCCATATTCAAACACACACAGATTCTAGATGGAACGAGTTGAAGCGTTTGTTTGAACAGTCTGCAGGAGGCAGGGACTTGCTTTCAAGCAGAACAGAAACTAACTTAGAGGAGTGTTTACGTGTTCGGCGTAATGACGTACAACGTCCTCCACGACTTCTGTAGTCCTATTCAGCCACGTGGTAACAACCATCGTTTCTCAGACACGTCAACTCTTCAGAAATCACCAGTGGGGTCACTGCTGATGATTTAATGTCCTAGAACAAAACCTGATCCGTCTCTTCAATGTGTCTCAACCACAGACCTTAGTTCCAGCTATCCCATTGGCTCTGAGACGAGGGAACAGGAAGTGGAGACCTGCTGACTCACTTCCTGGTTTTAGGACTCGTCACTGCACCACTCATGTCAAACCCTTCTTACCTGTGTGCAGCAGGTGTGCAGGCAGGTCGGTGCTGAGCAGGAGGCAGAACTCAGGGTGAGGGGGCTGAACAAGGTGCTCTAATCCTGGGAGGAAACATCCAGCAGGACGGGATAATCTCTCCAGGAACCGAGGTGTGGGAGTCAATCGCTCAACGTGAGTTACCAGGACTCTCAGACCTGCAGAACAAAAGGTTAGCGTGAGTTTCAGCAGAACAGAAACACTCATATTGTAATGTTTGTTTATAGATTAACTCAGGGACGGCGGGTGCTGTAGGCTAGGGAAAGCTAAGCCTTCACAAATACTTTTGTCGCATCCTGGTAAAATAAAAATATAATGTATAATGTGTGTGTCTTTGATATTAGCGCTGCTATGCAGCCACCTGTGCCCTGTTCTACGAAGCCAGTTCAACAGACCCTGGATATGTTTGAGTTATCTTAACTAACCCTAACAAACGAGATCTCGCTAAGCGGTCCTATGACGCTGGTTATCAACTCGGTAAATCAAGCCAGGGTTTCTCTCTCCAGCTGAGAGCGCGTTCACGTGAAAGGGGCGGGGTTAGCTACATTTGACCAATCACAAACAGGGACAAGTGTACTGACAGCGCAGCGTCATACTTCATTAATGAAAAGTAAACTAATATTAGACAAATATGAACTTTAAACATCCTTGATGACTTAAACATATAATCCAGGATACAAGCCACAGAGTTGCTGCAAGGTGAATACAGAACAACTGGTATAAAAATAAATAAACTACCGAGTGTTTGAAAGCGTAACAGGTTTATGATACTGCCCCATCTAAGACACGAGGGGATCTGAGTTTCATTACATTTGACTCGAGTGTTTCGTCAACTTAATGTGTTGCTTAAAATAATACTTCTGCATCCAGTCTGTGACGCTGTGAGTGTTGCACGGCCAGATACGGCTCAGCTGACTCAGATCATATGATACATTATGATATTATATGATCGATGATCTGATTGATGATGTGACATCAGTGTGATATGAATGATAAGTGCGACACGTCGGCGTCTTCTCTGCATACGGCAGTTTAAACTGTATTTCCTTTACCCTGTAATATGACTTGATAGATTTAAACTCTGCACACTGAGCTCTGATTGGTCAGCAGGCGGTGCTTTCACTGAATCGATCTATTTTCTATAGACGCCGGAGGCGGGCAGCGTCAGGTAAAACAAGTTATTTAGCCTTCCCAAACCTGAGCCTCACGTGCCCGCCTATGGATTAACTCACCTTCCTCTGCAGCCTGGTCCAGTTTGTGCATCAGATCAGGATCATCAGCAGAAAGCACCGTCTCACACGCCGTCTCCTTCTCCAGGGAAGCCTTCTCTCCTGCACAACACACACTTACTTTACTGCTTTGACTGGAAAACTGTGATTAATATCCAGGGTTTTATTTTCAATCACTGAACTCTGAAGACCTTTAGTAGGAAAAAAGCCTTTATGTCCTTTATTTCACACAAAACTAATTCCTCTGAGACAGTAAACAAGGCTTGTTTACTGAACAAGTCCTCTCTGTATCCTCTTCTGAAACCACCAGACTCAGGGAAAGATGTATCCCACAGGCTCTGTGAAGTGCCTCCATAAACATTCATCTGTTTGTCATCTTGCAATCTACTAATTTATTTAAATAGTTATCAATGCAATAAACTGTATTTCATTTCATCTTACTGTACAATATTTAATTTCACATTCTGTTCTTGTATGTATCATATTTTATTTACGTGTACATAGATTCCTTGCACTATTTCTTATTTGTATGTTATTATATATGTTGCATTGTTGGAGGAGCTCCGGTCAGAAGAATTGCATTGCCATTTCTATACATTACATTGCATTACATTACATTGCATTTAGCTGACGCTTTTATCCAAAGCGACTTACAATAAGTGCGTTCGACCAACAAAATACAACCTTGAAGAAAACAGAATCATAAAGTACATCAGGTTTCATAGAGCCAAACATTTCAAGTGCTACTCAACTGGCTTTAGAAAAGCCAGTCCTTTATTAGTATAAAAGTGCTTCGTTAATCGTTCTATCGCTCGAAGTGGAGTCGAAAGAGATGAGTTTTCAGTTTGCGCCGGAAGATGTGCAAGCTATCTGCTGTCCTGGTGTCAATGGGGGAGCTCATTCCACCATCTTGGAGCCAGGACAGCAAACCCACGTGTTTTTGCCGATGGGAACTTGGGTCCCCCTCGCAGCGAGGGCGCAACGAGTCGTTTGGCTGATGCAGAGCGTAGTGCACGCGCTGGGGTGTACGGTTAAACCATGTCCTGGATGTAGGAAGGGCCAGATCCATTCGCAGCATGGTAAGCAAGTACCAGTGTCTTGAAGTGGATTCTAGCAGTTACCGGAAGCCAGTGAAGGGAGCGGAGGAGCGGAGTGGTGTGGGAAAATGTAGGATTATACTGTAGCTGCTGAGCATATGACAATCATCATCATCATCTTTATTTAAAGAGACTCTTGGTCCATTATTACAAGACATACAACACTCACATATAAATTAAAAAAGAAAGTTATACCAATGTTTCCACAGAGGTGACTGGTATCGTACAGCACTGAGACACGGATTTGAAAGCAGCATAATGACAGAGTTATGAGAAACATTCAATCGACAGATGAATTTGAACATCAGATTTCTCAAGAGAGCATGGAACGTGTTGACTCGTGCATTACAGAACATTTCACTTGCACTGCACCGCCTTGGTTTTCTAAGCAGCAATAAAACCTGTTAATCTTTGAATCTTGAATCTCTTACACAACTGGCTGTTAGTGCAGAGCTAATTTTGCAAAACCAAATAGAAAAAGGGGTTAATAAACAAACCGAGGAAGTTAGGGATACTTTTATTTGGTAGCCAGCAAGGTGACGAAAAGAAGCGTACCCAACTCAACTCACATCTAGGATCATTTTCATGAGAAGCATTTCATCACTTCCTGTCCCCTGGTCTGGAGGTCAATGGTTTTCTGAATGTGTTTTTGGTTGTTATCCTGCAATCAGGTCTGTTGTTAGCCGCCTTTAGCTTAGCGGTGGTGACGTGAAATCATGTGACCGTGCTGTAGTTCCTTTATAGCCCAACATTAGCCTCCTTTAGCTTAGCGGTGGTGCCGTGAAGTCATGTGACCGTGCTGTAGTTCCTTTACAGCCCAACATTAGCCACCTTTAGCTTAGCGGTGGTGACGTGAAATCATGTGACCGTGCTGTAGTTCCTTTATAGCCCAACATTAGCCTCCTTTAGCTTAGCGGTGGTGACGTGAAGGTCATGTGACCGTGCTGTAGTTCCTTTATAGCCCCAACATTAGCCTCCTTTAGCTTAGCGGTGGTGACGTGAAGTCATGTGACCGTGCTGTAGTTCCTTTATAGCCCAACATTAGCCACCTTTAGCTTAGCGGTGGTGACGTGAAGTCATGTGACCGTGCTGTAGTTCCTTTATAGCCCAACATTAGCCTCCTTTAGCTTAGCGGTGGGTCCGTGAAGTCATGTGACCGTGCTGTAGTTCCTTTATAGCCCAACATTAGCCTCCTTTAGCTTAGCTGGTGGTGACGTGAAGTCATGTGACCGTGCTGTAGTTCCTTTATAGCCCAACATTAGCCTCCTTTAGCTTAGCGGTGGTGACGTGAAGTCATGTGACCGTGCTGTAGTTCCTTTATAGCCCAACATTAGCCCCCTTTAGCTTAGCGGTGGTGCGTGAAGTCATGTGACCGTGCTGTAGTTCCTTTATAGCCCAACATAGCCTCCTTTAGCTTAGCGGTGGTGACGTGAAGTCATGTGACGTGCTGTAGTTCCTTTATAGCCCAACATTAGCCACCTTTAGCTTAGCGGTGGTGACGTGAAATCATGTGACCGTGCTGTAGTTCCTTTATAGCCCACCATTAGCCACCTTTAGCTTAGCGGTGGTGACGTGAAGTCATGTGACCGTGCTGTAGTTCCTTTATAGCCCAACATTAGCCTCCTTTAGCTTAGCGGTGGTGACGTGAAATCATGTGACCGTGCTGTAGTTCCTTATAGCCCAACATTAGCCCTCCTTTAGCTTAGCGGTGGTGACGTGAAATCATGTGACCGTGCTGTGTTCCTTTATAGCCCACATTAGCCACCTTTAGCTAGCGGTGGTGATGTGAAATCATGTGACCGTGCTGTAGTTCCTTTATAGCCCAACATTAGCCTCCTTTAGCTTAGCGGTGGTGACGTGAAATCATGTGACCGTGCTGTAGTTCCTTTATAGCCCAACATTAGCCACCTTTAGCTTAGCGGTGGTGACGTGAAATCATGTGATCGTGCTGTAGTTCCTTTATAGCCCAACATTAGCCTCCCTTAGCTTAGCGGTGGAGACGTGAAGTCATGTGACCGTGCTGTAGTTCCTTTATAGCACAACATTAGCCTCCTTTAGCTTAGCGGTGGTGACGTGAAGTCATGTGACCGTGCTGTAGTTCCTTTATAGCCCAACATTAGCCTCATTTAGCTTAGCGGTGGAGACGTGAAGTCATGTGACCGTGCTGTACTGTAGTTCCTTTATAGCCCAACATTAGCCTCCCTTAGCTTAGCGGTGGAGACGTGAAGTCATGTGACCGTGCTGTACTGTAGTTCCTTTATAGCCCAACATTAGCCTCCCTTAGCTTAGCGGTGGAGACGTGAAGTCATTTGACCGTGCTGTACTGTAGTTCCTTTATAGCACAACATTAGCTTTTTACTTCAGAAATCATAAATTACTGTGTAAAGCCCACATTTCAGATATTACGTCATATCGGCAGCAAATCTGGATCAGCTCCGTTCTTCCCCCGTTTTTAGTGGTGTGAGTCTCCTGACACACCGGGGACACATATGTATGTATATAAAACATCCAAAAGTGAATTTTGCATGATAGGAGACCTTTAAAACAACCGAGGATGTGTGTGAGTCCCTACCTGTGTGTATGCAGCTGTTCGACAGGATATCCAGGTGCTTCTGGTTGTCAGTGAGCAGGTTCCAGCGCTGCACCCAGTGCCTCTTTCGTGTTCCCTGACAGTAGCAGCTTCACCAGCATCCGCTCATTGGGAAGAGACTCCTGCAGACCCCCTAACACCCGCCACACAGGAAGCCTCTTTGACACTGGGATGGGGAAGAAAACCCAGAGGAGGGTAAGAAGAAGAAGAAGGAGAAGAAGCAAGGGGGTGAGCAGGGGGGGTTCGAGGGTCATCCTAGGGTCAGTTTGATGCTTCCAGTCCGACTCAGATCCCTCCACTTGTTCAGGCAGCTCTGAACGAGTGTCAGGTCCAAACGGGCCTCAGATAAGAGATGATGCGGCGAGGAGGAGAGCGTCTCCTGATAACGACTTGTGATCTGACTCCACCTCCTGAGGGGAGCACAGAGAACATCATTTAGCCTATATCAGAATCAGAATCTGCAATATATATATATATATATATATATATATATATATATATATATATAACAAATCACCTATGGCTGGCAGAGAACTATCTGCTCCATAGCTTCTCTTGGACAACTGGACTCAAAATCACACTGTACATTTTACATTTATATTCAATCTAATATGTAATATTCCATTCCTCACATACTTATGTATATATAATATCCTGCTTTTATAGGTTGGTACTGGCACATTTTATTTCCATATGTATATTTTTTAATGCTATTTTATTTCTATTTGAGATGTTTACATGTTGGATTTTTAGTTCTAGTCTTTTAATTTCTCTAATGTACAATGCCCTGTCTTTTTATGCTGCTGCTACGCAAACATTTCCCACATTGGGATCAACAAAGTACTTATTATCTTCTTATCTTATCAGAATCAGGTTTATCACCAAGTAGGTTGAACTATCGAGGAATTTGACTTGGTGTTGTGGTGCTAACATAAAGGTAAAACAAAAATTAAAAACAAAGATAGAAATCTATTTTAAGAAAACTATAATAACATAAAAAAAATAATTTAAAAATTGTAAATATATCACAAGATACGCCATACAGTACACACGAGGCATATTTAAGGCGAGACACTGGAGGAAAAAAGTGTTCATGCACAGGTATATTTTGAGAATATAAGTAGTTTATACACATACCACTTCAATCTCATTAGTATGCATAGAAAGTGACAGGTCACACCTCTAAGCCCCGCCCCCTTCTCCGCCGGAAGTCCCGCCTCCATAAGCCCCACCCACTTCCACCGGAAGTCCCGCCCCTCCTAAGTCCCGCCCCCACTTCCGGTTTTTCAAAAATAAAATTAAAAAATATTTTAAAAATGATAAAAATAAAAATGCTGCCCCATACCGGTCGCCCCCACTTCCGGTTTTTCAAAATAAAATTAAAAAATATTTTTAAAATGATAAAAATAAAAATGTGCCCCTACCGGTCGCCCCCGCTTCCGGTTTTCAAAATAAAATAACATGAAACATGTAACAACCATATATTTTAAAAATAATGTCTCAGCTCTAAAGAGCAAGGTCCCGCCACCTAACCACTTCCTGTGCCCCTGTATACAGCAGTATTGACTGTAACCTTACAAATACTTGCAAATAACATGAAATATACACCATATATTTTAAAAGTAATGTCTCAGCTCTAAAGAGCAAGGTCCCGCCACCTAACCACTTCCTGTGCCCTGTATACAGCAGTATTGACTGTAAACTTCAAATACTTGCAAATAACAAGAAATATACAACCATATATTTGTAAAAGTACTGTCAATCTCACTAACTCTCTCTCGCTCTCTGCTATCTTCTCTGCCGTGAAAGTTTTGATGAACAGTCAAGACAGGTGTGGGGACCATAAAACCCCCCGCCATCCTCTGCGGGGCAAATGGTGTGTGTATGTGTGGTGTGTGTGTGTGTGTGTGTGTGTGTGTGTGTGTGTGTGTGTGTGTGTGTGTATGTGTGAGGAGAGACGGTCTGAGGCTGCTAATTACAAAGTCGCCGAATTCAGGACAGATGGTCAGATCAAAACAGAGAAAGCAGTACATTATTTTCTCATGTAACTATCTACATGTTTTTTTGTAATGTGTATGCGTATATATGTATATATATAAATATATATATATATATACTATATATATATATATACACGCATACATATATACAGGAGAATAGCCTAAAATAAAAAAGTATTTGCTCTACCATAAAAAACCAAATACAATATAATGCTAATTTGTTAAACAATCAGGAATAACCCATTGGTTGTTTTTAGAATCATTTACATATGCGGTCTATAAGTAACCCGAAAACATCTAGGCAGCCTCTCTTCGCTTTTCCCCGTCAAGGCCAGATATTTGAAAATATATGGTAAGTACTTTTATTTTTTATGTTATAATAGCATATAGTTAGTTAATGCTGCTTGATGGTGGTGTTGTGTGGTGTGTGTGTGTGTGTGTGTGTGTGTGTGTGTGTGTGTGTGTGTGTGTGTGTGTGTGTGTGTGTGTGTTAAATAACCTCTATGCATCTGTGTTTTTCTATTATGTAATTATTTAGAAGCTTTAATGAAGTATCGTTCTAAGTACAAATAATGTGGTGTACATTTTTTTACTATAAGTGTATTTAGCTATATTTCTTAAAAATTAAATATGTTCTTTCAGGTGTAAGTATCCAGAATAACGTACTCACTTGTTCTAAAAAGGTGGTGCACCCCCTCCGGCGGCCTGCATGGTCTCAGCTCAGCGCAGATCTGTTCAACAAGTCATCTCAACACAGACGGTGTTTTTGACAATTCAAACCTACCAGGTAAAAAATGCTTTTTTAGGTGTGCTTATACAAAAGATGATAGCTAAATGATTTTGTTTTGGAGTATTTAAAAAAACATGCTTATACCCTCTTCTTTTCTTTTCTTTTATAGAGCAATTGAAGGGGAGGACCCCGTTATCAAAAGGACAAACGCTGTTTGTTAAGGTCTGCTTTAAGGCCACACCATCTGAATAAGCTACACGTAGATCACATGTAAAACTGTTATTGATGTATCCGCCAGGTATGTTGACTTTACGTCCATGAATGTAGAAGCAAAGTGAAATGTTTCTTCAGCGGTGCCACTGATTTTTTTTTTGTTTTTTGTTTTTTTTTTTGCGGGGGTGATTTCTTAAAAACGGTCAAGCATGGATGATTTAAAAGACGACGAAAAGTCCTTCATCGAGGGTTTACCTGATGTAAATGAACTATGCAGTGGTGAGGGCTTTGTGTACGAAGACATGTCATTTCCACAGTGGTCAGACAGTAACAGTGAGCTAAATGACACAATAACAGATGTACGCGAGCCTACGCCCTTGACAGAAACAAGCCCCTATACAGATGGAGAAAGGTCCTTTCTGCATGTATTACCGGATGTAAACGAATTGTGCAGTGATGATGATGATGAATTCAGATATAGGGACCTGTCATTTCCGCAGTGTTCAGGCAGCAACAGTGAGTT